CTCTGAAGGAGGGGGCAGATTTTTTCCGGCTGTGTATTTTCAAATTCTAGCGCACTCGAGCTGGTTTATCCCAAATTACCTACCCCACCTTTAACCCAGCATCCCGTTAATGTTAAGCAGATGTTTTTTTTATGTTGTCTCAGAGAAAGGCTTGTTGAAAATGAAAGTTCCCTACCACTGTAATCCCAAAACTTGGAGTAATAAAACTATACACACTAAAATGTACTTTCTGTTTCACGTGTGAGTTTTTAAGTAAATATAAAGGTGAATTAAAGTTTAAAGTCCTTTAAGTGAAGGAAATAATGCTTTAACAATTAATTAAAAAAAGTCAAAGTAGGTATAAATGTCAAGCCTAACCCTTGCATTTTGGGAATTAAGTTTTAAACATTTTTAGATCTGACTAAAAGTGATTTTGTTTTTGTTCTCATGAAATTCTGAGACTAAAAGTCTGAATTCTGATTGACAGACTTTCAGAAAAAAAGTCCGCCTTTTTTTTTAAATCTGACTTTAATCTCAGAAGTCAATCAATCAATCAATGTTTATTTATATATCCCAATATCACACATTTTACATTTGTCTCAGTGGACTTCGCAGTTTGTACAGAATATCAGTATGACAATACGACACCCTCTGTCCTTAGACCCTCACATCGTGGAAACACTTCCAGAGAAAACCCACAGTTTAAAGGGGAACATGGGAGAAACCTCAGGGAGAGCAACAGAGGAGGGATCCCTTTCCCAGGACGGACAGACGTGCAATAGATGCCGTGTGTAAATCGAAGAGATAATACATTTTACAGCATAGGTAGACCAAATGTTTGGAAATGCATGTGCCTATAAGAAGAAGAAGAAGTCTGACTTTTCTCAGAAACACTCAAAAGTTTTTGGTCATTCTGACTTTATTTGCCACATTTTGACTTTATTGTCAACAGTTTATTTGTGATGTTTTGAATTCATCCTCAAAATAAAAATAAAAAATCCCATTCATTCTCAACATTTCGACTTTATTTCTATACAGTTGGACTTTATTTGGGATATTTGAACTATATATTCGACATATTGACTCGTATGCAAAATTTAAAAATAATCTTGCTCCTCATCCTTTATCCCTATTCCTAACTCTGATTACAGCTAGAATCGTTTTCGTCTTAAATCATAACAAATTAAATGTATCATGAACTCTTAAAACGTTGTTACCCTTCTTTGTTGATATTTCTCATTCATACTTAACATTTTCACCTTATTCTCATAGTGGTATTTCAACGTTATTCTCATCAGATATCATTATACTTTCAACTTTTTTTTTGACATTTGGACTTTATTCAAAAATAAATATGTCTTCCCCTTTTGCTCTAACACTAATACAACAATTTATTTACCGGAACCTAAGCAATATTTTTGTACATACAATCAGCACAGACAATTGTCTCATTTGTATGCAATGCATATATTTTGCTTTCCACTTCTAAATGACAAACATTACTTATGCATTGTCAAATGCAATAAAAATATTTTTGATCAGAAATATAAATAAGATGCATGTGAGTTAAAGGTCTGACCGGTGGTGCTGAGTGACAGCAGGGGGAGAGAGAGGGATCCTCCCCCGGAGCAGGAAGCTGCTGCTGGGACTGAGAAACACACAGAGAGAGGTGCTCTACAAAACAACCAGAGACTCTTCCAGCAGAATGTAGCCCCAACACAGACATCCAGCCCCACAACAAGCCTACATGTCCCGCAGGGTGCAGCAGCAGCAGCCGGTCTAACAGACATTGTTTCTCCCCCATGATGAAGGAGCTGCAGGGCTGCGGGATGCGGTCCTCGGTGGGCTTTCTGTCCCGCAGAGAGCTCACCGGACAGCCGCTACTGAAGGACGAGTTCCAGAGGCGGAGGATGGCCGGTTGCTCCAGCCTCTTCAAGAAGGACATGCTCGGTCACTTCGGATGCGTCAACGCCATTGAGTTCTCCAACAACGGAGGAGAATGGCTGGTTTCTGGTGAGAAATCATCCTTCTTCATGAGTTTAGTGTGTTAGCATGCTAACGCTAACTAGCCTGGCAGTCAACTGAAACCAATGGGTGAAAACACTCAAGCTATGCTAATTTAGCTTAGCGTTTCGTGCTAACATGCTAACAATAACTAGCCTTTTTAATGGTTTTGTGACTCTTTCATTTTGTTTTTTAAAACTTAGATAGATAGATGCTTTATTTATCCCAAACTGGGACATTATTTTTGTCACAGCAGCAGTGTTGTCAAGCTTTATACGAGTTAGACATATTTAAAAGATAGAATAAGATAAAGGTATTCTGATTCTGTAAAATAAAAATGAACATTAGCAGCAAGTGTAAACAAATTCACATAGAAAGAAAATGTTGATTAAATGGTAAACTCTAGAATATACGATCTCACTGAGATATATATACATATAAATACATATATTACAGACACATATTGGCACTGTTTTAATACTCTAACTATTTTTGTATCATTGTGTATTTGTATGTATCTTCCCTTGCTCTGTAAAGCACTTTGATGCAAACTTTATTTGCATCAAAGGTGCTATAAAAATAAAGTGTATATTATTATTATTATTATTATTATTATTATGAGCCTGGCAGTCAGCTGAAACCACTCAAGCTATCCTAATTTAGCTTAGCTTTATATGCTAGCTGGCTAACGTCAAACACCCAGCAGCGGCTCTGAGGGCAGCAGTCCCCCGGACCTGAGTCACATATTTCGGCCCAGAAACTCACACTGCTGCCGGTGTAAGGGACGTTATTATCCCGCTGGAGGGTTTAATAATGTCTGCCTCCTGAAACTACAAAGATATTTTACATCCAGAGAGGATACAATAAGATATCAATAATCATCTTCTGGCCTAGTATAACAACATGATGTTGTCATTTTTATTTATTATTTCTTAATTTATTGTGTTTACATTTATTTAGAGCACATTTTGATAATATCTTAGTTAAGCTTTTCTTTTTTTTTCTTTCTTTCTTATTACATTTTTTGTACAATTGTGGTCTTGGGAGGATTTCAAAACATATTTTGTCTTATTTAGAGAATTTTGTATATGATTTATATAACAATTATTATTTTTGTATTATATTCTCATACAACAATAAAGGGGTGGAAACACTCATGCGTCAATCTTTATTATTTAACAATATAACATATTTTGTATCTGAAATTAGCCGTTGTGCAGAACGATTACATTTGCCTTCAGGTAAATGTTGATGCCAATATTGTACTTTTACTTAAATAAGGTTTTAACCCATAATAGCTCTAAATGTTTCCATACCTCTAAGAGTTCAACCCCTTCAGGTCTATTGAAATCAACCAATCTGAGAAGTCAGTCTTTAGTTCCAACTCTAACTGTGCTTTGCATTTGTCTAAGTTCTTGTTGTTCTTGTCTTCAGGAGGAGACGACCGTCGGGTTCTGCTGTGGAACATGGAGGAAGCTCTCCACGCTCGCTCTAAACCAGTGAAGCTGAAGGGAGAACACCTGTCCAACATCTTCTGCCTCGCCTTCGACAGCACCAACAGGAAGGTTTTCTCCGGAGGTAAGGATAAATAAACACTGCATCTGCTGTCTGCTCCTTCACATCAACAAGAGAGTTTATTTCCTTTGACCTGTGCAGGTATTTCTGTGGCTTGTAAATGTAAGGCAAGTCGCTAAAAGGTGGATATGGTTAGATAAAAAAAACGTTGAAGCTCTTGAGGCTGCAATTTTGTATGCAGCAAAGTCAATTACCTTAGAATTCATATTCAAGGACTAAATTAAATTTATTACATGAGAATGTTTGTGCACATTTTACTGGACAAAAGCTACAGCTGCAACTATTTGATTACAATTTTGATAATATTTTGTCATGCTAAATAGACACACAAGTTTTGTGCACAAGCATCCTTCACATTGTGATCCTCTGTTTGTTGTTTTGCAGGAAATGATGAACAGGTGATTCTTCACGATGTGGAAAGGTGGGTCAAATAACACCCACAGAATAATAACTGTTGCATCAAAACACCTCCTGTATATTCCCAGACTGTAGCATAAATAGCTTTGTTGGCTTTGCACTAACAACATGTTTCTGTGTGTGATTTCTGTTCCGACAGAATGGAAACCATTAACGTGTTCCTGCACATCGACGCTGTGTACAGTCTGTCCGTCAGCCCGGTGAACGACAACGTGTTCGCCAGTTCTTCTGACGACGGACGCGTCCTCATCTGGGACACCCGCGAGCCGCCAAGTACAGGTACATGCACAGTTTGTTTACTGTAAAGCTTGTTGTTGTTTTTTTACAATAATAATATCTTTATATAGTAATGCCTGGTGATGCTTAGGGCTGCATTCATCTAGAATAAAAGCACATTATTCTTGTTGGGAAAATACTGAATGTACTTTTCCAATATCAGAGTCTACATGGTAACAAAGGTATCCCAACTGTAGCCGTGTACATGACAGGATGTCTGATTACCTAGAAGAGCATCGGGACTGTCAGAATTTAGAGAAAAAGTCAGAATTTTGACATTTGGAGAAAAAGTCAGAATTTTTAGATTTTGAGAAAAAAGTCAGAATTTTTAGATTTTGAGAAAAAAGTCAGAATTTTAGATTTTGAGAAAAAAGTCAGAATTTTTAGAAAAAAGTCAGAATGTTGAGAAAAAAGTCTGAATTTTTTTAGATTTTGAGAAAAAGTCAGAATTTTGGGAAAAACTCAGA